ATTGTAGATATAACTCAGAATAAAACTCAGCAGTAAAAAAGTAAACAATCCAATTAGACATGAAAAAAAGACAGGACGAGGTATTTCACCAAAGAAGATATACAGATAAAAAAATGTTCAGCATCATTAATCATTCTAAAAAAGAAAAAAAAAACAAAAAACTGACTGCCATCGAGTCAGATTGACTCACAGCAACCCCTCCTTGGGTTTCTAAGGCAGTATCTCTATAGAAGTAGATTGCCCAATCTTCCTGACTGGTGGGTTTGAACCACCAGCCTTCTGGTTAGCAGTCAAACGCCTTAGGCACTACACCACCAGAGCGCCCAGATTATAAGAATAAAACTAACTAAACTCACTGCCATCAAGTCGGATCTGACTCATAGTGACCCCTCCTTGGGTTTTCAAGGCAGTATCAGTACGGAAGTAGATCGTCCAATCTTCCTTCTGAGGAGTGGCTGGTGAGTTTGAACCATCAGCCTTCTGGTTAGCAGTCAAATGCCTTAGGCACTAAGCTACCAGAGCTCCTGATTATATGAATAGTAACAACAAAATTGTAAAACCTTTCTATATTGAATTATATTATTAGTTACAACATGATTTAAAATGAAACTTGATTGTTCTCCTTTTCAATTAATTACTATTTCATTATTTAAAAGTTATTGATACAGGTTTACAAATACCATTATATCATTGTAGCTAAAATACCAGAAATTTTGACAAAATACCCAACTATAAAAACACTTTTTTTTTTTCACTGCTATCAAGTTGATGCTGACTCAGAGATACCCCCATTGGGTTTCTGAGGCAATTAATCTTTAAGGAAGGAGATTGCCTCATCTTCCTTCCATGGAGTAGCTGATGGGTTTGAACTGCTCACCTTCTGGTTAGCAGTCAAATGTCTTAGGCACTGTACCACTATGGCAGCAACAAAAACAACAGTGTATGCTTATAGTATGTACAGCTGAAACCATGTGATTGGAAGTGTCATTGTAATTGGATAATAATGATAGCTTTGACCAGAGCACATTACAAAATTCAAAACGGAAATTCACACAGAGTTTAGCATGTAGGTATAATACTTTTTCCTTCCTGGGGTAAATCTCACTTGGTCATCATACATAATCCTTTTAATATGCTTCTGACTTCGGTTTACTAGTATTTTCATGAGGATATTTCCATTTATATGAAACATGTAAGCTGGACTTAAAAAAAATACTTTGACTGTTTTAACTAACTACAGGGATATTTAAATTAAAAATAACAAATTTCTGCTTAAATACTGAACAGAAATTTTATAGACAGTCATTTTGGTGTCACTTTCTCTGATAGTTTCACTGGGTACTATTTGTATCCCCTGCACTCTCCTAGTGAAGCCACTGGTAGAACTGCCCCATAGGGTTTCCAAGGCTGAAATCTTTATGGAAGCAGACTGCCATATCTTTCTACCATGGGTTCATACCTCTAACCTTTTGGTTAGCAGCTGAATGCTTTAACTACTGTATCATATAAAATCTTCTCCAGCCACTCTGAAAAACAATATGGCAGTTTCTTTGGGAAAAAAAAAAAAAAACTAGACATCCAACCTATCATCCCATTGCTGTCATGTTGATTCTGACTCACAGAGACCTTACAGGACAGAATGAAATTACCCCATATAGTTTCCAAGGCTGTAGTCTTTATGGAAACAGATCACCAGGTAGGCCTTTTCCCTCACATAGCAGCTGGTGGGTTCTAACTGCCAACCTTTCAGTTACCAGCTGAGTGCTCAACAACTGTGCCACCCAACTACCACACAGCCCAAGAATTGGACCCCTGGACATTCATCCCAGAGAAATATAGACATGTTCATACAAAGACGTACATGAATGTTTACAGTACCTTTATTCCTAATAGCCCTGGAAACAATCCATATATTCTTCAACAGGTGACTAGATAAACAAACTATGATAAATCTCCTGAGAATTATGTTGGGGGTGGAAGGAAAGGCCAATCCCAAAAAGTTGCATACTGTATGACTCCATTTATGTAATCTGTAACATTTTTGACATGACAAAATTATAGAAATGGAGAACAGATCAGTGGCTGCCCAGTATTAAGAAGGGAGTGGGAGAGGGACATGGTATGCCCATAAAGGGGCAACACAAGGGATTCTGTGATGATGGAAATGTTCTGTATCTTGACTATATCAATATCCATATCCTGGTTATAATATTATACTATAGTTTCACAAGATGCAGCCATTGGGGGAAACTGGATGAAGGGTACACAGGATCTCTCTGTGTTATTTCTTACAACTGCCAATGAATGGATCTACAAGGATTACAGAATAAAATGCTTAATAATAATAATAATAATAAGTACTTAGAATATGTCAACAGCCTTCATTGTGGGCTCCCTGCTGCTAGTTTCTCTATATGCTACTCTATCTTCTATACTGATGTCAAAAATTACTTCCCTAGGAAACAATGCCTATCATGTTCCTCTCCTTCCTGGAGACCTCTTTGGTGTACAGTACCAAGACACTAATATATTAGACTGGCAGATTAGATACTTATATATTAGAGTCATATTCTAGCCCCAGTTCATCTCTCCAGCTTTACGTTCCATAATTCTCATCCATAGATCCTGAGTTTAGGATCACTTTATCCTTTGGAAACTATGGCCATGATACTTAGGGGCTATGAGTTTTAGAAGGAGCTGGGCAAATATTTAAGGAGCTCTGATGGTACAGTGGTTAAGCACTTGACTGCTAACGGAAAGGTCAGCGGTTCCTAAGTCTGTTGCTATGAAGATTACAGCCCTGGAAACCCTATAGGTCAGTTCTACTTTGTCTTATAAGGGCGCCATGAGTCAAATCAACTCTATGGCAATGAGTTGAGTTTCAAATGTTTGAAACTTCAAAAATAAAATCCCTAGATTAAAAACAGGAGAATACAACTAGAAAAAAAATTGTAAATGTTAAATCCAATTTCTATAAAATGTGAGACTATGTCAGCTTCATTAATTGTTAAATTTAGTAGTTATAAAATATTCATTATTCTGGTAACCTAGTGCCTAAGGCACTTGACTGCTAACCAGGAGGCTGGAGGTTCAAACTCACCAGCCACTCCTCGGAAGGAAGGTTGGGCAATCTACTTCCCTGTGATACTGCCTCGGAAACCCAAGGAAGGGTTGCTATGAGTCAGGTCTGACTCGATGGCACATAACAATAACAACAACAACAACAACAGGTTGTGTCCCTCAGGAGAATTCCCAGGTATGCATCATAATTGCAGACAAATCATAGCCAATTCAATCTCAGAAAATTAAATCAGCTACTTTGAGCCAAATAATTTCTAAATAAAATTTAATATTTCATTTCAAATTCTTTTTAGCAAAAAAAAAATAATAATGTTTTATGTGGGAAGTGGGTACATCTGAACGTATTTCATGTGATGGTGCATGTGTGTACTTATGCACACTGTTGTGCCACAAAAGTAGGAGAGGCTAAGGGCCTATGGTCTTAAAAATAGCTTTACTGAGCACGTTTGTAATACTTAAACACCTGACCCTTTGTCCATGCTATTCTCTTTGCCTGGAATAATTTCCCTCTTTTATTCATCCAGAAAATTCCTATCCTCATATCAAGACCCTGTTTGAATTTCATTTCTCTCTTGAAGCATACCCTTGACTTAAGTACTTTGTTTATGCCTCCTTAATATCACTTATGGACAAAGCTCTGGTGGCACAGTGTTTAAGTGCTCAGCTGCAACTGGAAAGGGAGGAGGTTTGAACCACCAGCTACTCTGTAGAAGACAGATGTGGCAGTTTGCTACCAGAACGATTACAGCCTTGAAAACCCTAAGGGACAGTTCTACTCTGTCCTATGGGGTTACTGTGAGTCAGAATTGACTTGATGGCAATGGGTTGCATCACTTAAAAGGAGCCTGGGTGGTACAAGCAGTTTGCAATTGACTGCTAACCATCAGTTCCACGGAAAAAAGGCCTGGCGAACTGCTACTGTAAAAAAAAAAAAAACAGCCAACAAAATCCTACACATGAAGTTACCATAAAACAGGGGCCAACTCAACAGCAGCTAACAGTAACATCACTTATATTCAGGTTAATTCAAGAGGAGACCTACAGTTACTAAGGGTACATTCTGGAACCATACAGGCTGGGTCTGCCACTTACTAGTTGTGTGATCTTCAGCAAGTTATTAACCTCTCTGTGTCCATTCATAAAATGGACATGGCACTCATTCCTAACTCCTAGGGCTTTTGTAATGGAGCTCTGGTGGCACAATGAGTAAGGCGTTTGGCTGCTAACCAGAAGGTCAGTGGTTCAAACCCACCAGCTGCTTTACGGAAGGAAGATGGATGGGGCAATCCACTTCTGTAAAGATTTACAGCTTTAGCAACCCAATGAGAGTTGCTATGAGTCGGAATCAACTGGATGACAGGGAGTTTGGTGAGTTTGAGGGCTGTTGTAAGGATTAAATAAATTAACATATGCAAAGCCTTTAGAACAGTGCCTGGCACATGGCAAGTAGTTAACTCATTATTGCATGTCTGTCTGCTCTACCCAAATTAAGAATACTTAGGTTTTTATATTCCCAGAATCAACATAAAGTCTAGTTCACAGTCAATACTTGAAAAATAGTTGCTGAATAAGTAAATGGCTTAAGGAACTGGAAATGAGGTTCACCATACATGTGAATGGGAGCTCTGGTAGCATAGTGGCTAAGACACTTGCCTGCTAACCAGACGGCTGGCGGTTCAAGCCCACCAGCCACTCCTTGGAAGGAAGGTTGGGCAATCCTACTTCCGTAGTGATACTGCCTCGGAAACCCAAGGAGGGGTCGCTATGAGTCGGGTCTGACTCGACGGCACATAACAACAACGACAACAATACATGTGAATGCCACACACACACATACACACACACACACGATCACAAATTTTTACAAAGGATAAGTTTATATACAGTCTCTAAAAGAATGGAATAAGCTTAGCATTTACTTTGTGGTGCACTTGTCACTGTTTGCTTTGGGACAACTTCTACATTTTCATTTTCTGCTACTAGATTCTCTAGAAAAAAGGAAAAATGGGAAAAACTTTTGGATACTTATAACATTCATGTGAAGGTGCTATGACTTTGTTATAATTGTTCATCCATTAATGAGCTGGCAGTATCCACAGGAATGTGCCCATGAAGGAATCTACCAGCATTGGCATCCTGCTTCTAGAGATCATCTGGACCACCCTCTGAATGACTGCTCAGTCCCACTGCTCCTTTATACTCACTTTCCTGCTCCTTTATACTCCTTGCATGGTTCCCCAGCACCACCATCTTCATGGAGTGCCCAGCTTGGCCTTGGTAGACCTTCTATTATTGCCCTCTAGTCATGTATTAAAGGTATAGGCAAAAGGTGATCTCACCCTCCCAGTCCCAAGCCCCAGGGGGCCAGCATTTGCGTGCACTCCTCCTCTCCCCTTTGCTATACCTGACCCCTATTTTTATACACCATGTTCAGACTTATTTACCTATAGTAGACTGTCTTTGAGGTTTTCTTGGTAAAGCTGGTACTGGCATGGAAATGGGACCAGGAAATTCATTAATAGTTAACACTACAGGAGTATCTCGTCGTAAGCGGTCAGACAATTGTTTTTCTGGTCTAGGAGATGTAACACTAGGTAGAGGGCTTACCACTGCTGTACTCAAATCTACCACAGGGATCTCAGAACTATACTTCAGACTCTTTTGTTGACATTCAGCTTGTATATCCTTGACTTTGGTAGTGGTAATTGGGCAAGGTGCACTTAAAGGTTTGGAGAACTTTGACCTAAGAATTAAGATGTTTTTAAGTCTTCTATCAATATAAATCCTTTTTAATTTGGATGGATATTTCTTTGACGTCCTTAATGTTTCCATTTGACTTAATTTTTTCCCAAAAACTCGAGCTGAAGCCGAATGACAACTTGGAAGAAACATGGAACCACGAGCAGAATCTGGAATTTGCACACAAACATCCTGAAGATATTTTCTCTGTATTGGAATAGGTTTTAGAAGGGTCACTTTTTCTTGTATATCATAATCAAGAAAGAGGTTTTGGGTATTGATAGGGGTTAGTGATTGACTTCTTGAAGCAACCTCAGGAATAATAGTTGCAACTTCTTTAACCAAAGTGGTTTCATCATAAGTGACCTCTACTTCTGGTAGTTCAATTTCAATGGTCTTGGCTAAACCAGAAAAAGCAAAAGAGCAAAATTAGACTTTATTTATCTAAGTGTCAGGGACAAGACAATCAACATCTTAGTATTCATAGCTTTCCTTTACCTACCCATCCCTCTCTCACATTCTTAAGAGATTTCTGTATATCTTACTCAGCTTACCAAGGCACTTATTGAGCTAACTGGGATAAAGTTTGAGCGAACAACTAGAGAACTCAAAAACTTAATTATATTAGATTTAGAAAGGGCAGGGAGCTACTCTTGGAAAAAGAGAATTGATGGAGAAAGAATGGTAAATAGAGCTTTTTTAGCAGATTCCACTAGAACTCTGGGTATAAGAATGGGTTAAAAAGTGGTTCCAAGAAAGTTTTGCTATTCATCATGCATCATTACTCTCCCTCAGCTTGATACTCAGAGTGAAGATTTACATTTCTTTTCAATACTTCTTTGGATGTCAAACCATTGTGCCTGGTGAATATGATGACATTCTGATACTGGTTACATGAATAAATATTCTTTCCTTTCATACATCCAGAAAAAGCAGTGTGCCTGCATTCTTAGGTACCTCACTATATCAAGCATGCCTTCTCTTTGCTATGTGATAGAAGGTTAAATGACACTTTTTGTGTTGTCTCAGTTGAGTACAATAGTGGCACATATCTCTACATTCTACTGAGCAGATAATAGATTCATTAAGGCAGAATTTGCAAAGAAATGTCCAAAACAAGTCCTTCAAAGATTTAGCACATCACCCTCCTCTTATTCATGTATAAGAGATGGCCAGAGATTGATTCAGTTGAGTGGTTGCTACTAACTGAAAAGTTGGTGGTTCTAACCCACTCAGGAGCACCTGGGAAGAACGACCTGGTGACCTGCTTCTGAAAGGTCACAGCCATTCAAAATCCTATGCACAGTTTAACTCAGAAATACAGGCAGCTGCCCTGAGTTGGAACTGACTTCAGGGCAACTATTTCGGTTTTATTGGTTCAAGATTGACCTAGGTTCAGAGGGAGGATTTCTCCTTAGTTCTACGTGTTCCTCTGCTCTACCCCTCACATTGTGGATGAAGGGGAAGGATTTCACCCCCACTGCAAACATAAAAGGAGCTCTGGTGGGGCAGTGCCTACTGCTAACCAGGTTAGTAGTTCAAACCCACCAGCTGCTCTGTGAAAGGAAGGTGGGTAATCTACTTAGGTAAAGATTTACTGCCTCAGAAACCCAGTGGGGGTCACTGTGAGTCGGAATCAACTTGTGACAGTGAGTGTGGTTTTTAGTTTGCAAACCTAGTGAAGGGGACTCTCAGAGAACCACTTGTAGAGTAGTGTCTGCCACAAGGAGACTAAAACAACTCATCAATCCTCTGCCCACCTCCCCAACTAATACTTGCAGAACAGCAAAAGCATATTGGCCTTGCCAGTCCTGTTTGCCATTTGGAATAAGGTAAGAAAAACCAGTTGCTGTCAAGTTGATTCTGACTCATGGCAACCCTATGTGTCTGAGTAGAACTGTGCTCCACAGGGTTTTCAGTGGCTGATTTTTCAGGAGCAGATCACCAGGCCTTTCTTCCAGGGTACCTCTGTGTAGACTAGAACCTCCAATCTTTCAGTTGGCAGCTGAGCCCATTAACTGCTTGCACCATGGGACTCCAAAAGTGGAAGATGGCCCAAAACAAAACAGGCACAAAATATGACAAAACAGGAGGATTAACCAGGGGTGCGTGCTGGAGAGAAATCCCATCTCACAAAGACCCAGCATAGTGAACTTCACCTGGGTAAAAAGTGTACACTAATAGGCTAACTAACAAGTGGAGAGAAAGAATCTGTTTTTGCTCACTATTATATCTTCACACTGTGCTCAGTAATACTTGTGGAATTGAATTGGATGTTTTTTATAACAAACATTTGCAAGTTAATGGTAATTGGGGGAGGATTTTTAACTATTGCAATTTTGAACTGTACAGGTGAAGTAATTTCTATGAATAACACATAAACATTAATACACATATCTGATTAGTTCTCATACCTGTATGGGCTTTCTTCTTCTGTAAGGGCAGCTTAGGCAGTTTTGGAGGTAAGGGTCTTCGAAAAAGTATCGAGTGCTTTTGCATTTTAATTAATAGTAAGTGCTGTTTTTCAGAACGATTGGTTAAATGAGAACTAAAAAAAAAAATAATAATATGTTTGAATGGTTGCTGAAAAATAATTCATTAAAAGCTAGATTACATCTTAATGAAAATCTTTCTGAGGTAATACTCCACCGAATTCAAGCAGAATCCTTTATAAGAAAAAGAGGGTAAAAAGATAATTCTTAAAAACTTCTAGAAAGAGTTCAGATAAAATTTAGATTTATAATTCCTACAGAACTTTAAAATATGTATAGGAAGAAAGATATGACAGTCTGCTTCGGTAAAGATTTAGAGAAATCCTATGGAGCCATTATGAATCCAAACTGACTCGATGCAGTGCTTTGTTTTTAAATACTCCAACTACCCAAGACCATTATAAAAATATCCCATATTAGTAAAAAAATCAATCCGCTAACACTATTTCAGCTAGTAAATACTGATTTTCCAGAATAGCACATACAACGATTTTTTTTTTCAACCTCCAAAATGTTTAAATTTGGAAAAGAAGAGAAGGGAAAAAAATCCTAAAGATCCACCATTCACAAATAGTTTTCTTTCTATAATAATGACTTACATTTCAACCATCATAACTGGAGTATCAATATTTAATCCAAAACAAGATGGGTTTCAATATAATGAAATTTCCCAGGATCGCTCCCAATTAGCACTGTTTAGAACTGGTGCCAGAAGATGGACTCAAGTTGCGCGCTTTGTTTGCAGGTCAGCAGAAAGCGCCTGGCTCGTCACCTTACCGTTGATAACGAGAAAGGAACGCTCTGGAGCTGCACAACCTGGACGTTTATCCCCAAAAGACACCTTGCACACAAATGCTCGATTTTTTTTTTGCTCTCTTATCACTTTACTCATTTTCTACCACTTGATGTCGGTAATTTTCCTTCTGTAGCATCCGAAGGGATGCCTGAGAAGTTTTGGACTCCTACTCTGCCCACTCAGCTGCTTCTCAACCAAACCGGCTTTTCATATTCCCTCTCCTTTTCCTCGGACTCTTAGACAATGAGGTAAGGGTAAAGTGATATTGAGTAGTTTTCCCCGACCCCCCAGGCAAGGTGTGTCTAGAGGCCCAAGAGACAGACCCCAGCAACCCGACGCAGTAAACCCGCCTTCTCCTGAACGAACCATCTCGCCCCACTACCAGACGCGCTGGAGTCGATGAAGGGGGCGGGGCCGGTGGGGCCGGGGCGGGGCCGGGGCGGGGCCGGGGTGGACCAGGCGCGATCTGGTTTAGCCGGACGGAGCCAACCCCTCCTGAGGGCGCGGCGGGCGCAACGCCAACTCACCTTTTAGTGCAGCTGTGTGGGGCTGCAGGGGAGGCTGCAGGCGGTGGGGCAGAAGAAGCCAGCTCCACATGCACCTGCTGTACGGAACCCCGTGGTGACAATCGTTATTACTATTCTTATTCTTAATGACAATGACCATTATTTATTGAGTTCTTGCTTACACGCTGCTTCACTCTCATCTAGAGTGTATCTAGGATCTGGGTTGGCATTTCTTAATACTGCACTTTGCGCAGCAGGATCCCGTTGCTGGTTTTGCAGTGTCCCTGAAAAGCGCACATTCTGTTTTTCTTCTCTTCATTTAGTCCAACTGGTTTTTGTTCCTGTTCCTTTAAAGTTCCTGGTTGAAGGGGAACTATGTAGGAATAGGGGGAGCAGGAGTTCAAGCGGCTTTTGAAACCCATTTCTCACTTTCATGTCATTTGTTCTGATTATCGTTTTGTGGCTTGTCTTCTCTTTCAATTGTGTTGATGAGCCTGTGTGTATAGTGTTCCATATACACAGTGATTGCTTGTTTGCACGTATGTGTATGTGTCTCTGGAGATTTGAGTGAAAAAGAGCGAATTTATTATGTAGATGTGTAAATTCTAACTCAGAAAGTAGAATAGATGGACATTCCTTCCTTTTTTTTTTTTTTTTTTATAGATATAGGTACAGGTGCAAAAACTTTAATAACAGGTGCTGGAAGATGAAAGACTTCTGCATAAATATATTTCTAGCTTTTGGGATCTTTCGAGATGTATTTCTAAGCTAAGACTTTTCTGCTTAGAAACAAGTATGTATTTTTAGATAATCAATGAAAGAAGTGGGAAAGTAAAGGTCATATCTCTATTTCATCAGACTCTGGAAAATAGGCAACTTATTTTTCTTTAGGGTCTTAAATTCAGGGACCCCCCTCCCCTTGTATGATCACTGTGTGCTAATTAGACTGCTGGCCAAAACCATAAATTTATCTCACTTTTGACTATGTCTACTTCCTAGATTGATTAGTTTCTCAGAAGGACCAAAAAAAAAAAAAAAAGCTGACAACAAAGGGCAGATCTGATTGTTAGGATTTTGTGTCAAGTAATATATTTTGTACCTGACATTGCAGCAATGTTAGGAAATTCTATGTGTGAACTCAGTGCTTGCGTTTTTATTTTAGTTCATTTAATGTATTTGTGCCTGTTTTGTAAGTATAAAAAAATGTTTATATTCTTAAGCATAAAAATGTGCACATTCTAATATGTAAGTTGTGTCAGGTTCCTATGTTCTTAAAAGCCTTTTGCGCCATGAGAACTACTGGGATTCAGTTTTACTGATCAATGCCTGGCCTTGAAAATGCACACTTAGTATTGCAAAGCCAAAATCCAGGAATTAATTTATCACTACATATTTTTTTTTAAATGGTTTGTCATACGTGGAATGAGACATCAGAATTCATTCCCTGAAGATTTCTTCTAACAAGTACCAAACCAGAGCCTGTATTTTGTTTTCTACTGCTTACTACTCCTACCACTTAGCACCAGACATTCAGGTAAATGAGACGATTATTATGAAAAGAAAGTCCAAAGCTTGGTGTGTTTTGTATGTATATATCAGTTGTCCTAACACATCTTACATACTTCATCTTTGGAAATGATGTGAAAATGTAGGATGGATTTAGAAAGCACCAATCAAATTCAACTTGGATTATTTTATTACATATTGTATTTTGAAAAGGAATATTAATACTTTCTTTTTAAAATATGTCTCTTTGGCTTTAAGAGTTTACGTTAGCTGTACAGTACAGTCAGGCTACTTATTTATCCCATCAGCTTTGCACTTAGGCACAAGCATATGAAGCTTGTCAAAGAGAACCACAATCACTTTTGCTCTATTAGCACATTGTATTAAAGAGGCCAGGGTAACAGTGAGCGCCAAGGTTACATATCCTACTTTATTATTATTACTAATGTGTTAAAATGAGGTAAAAGCCTTACACAAAAGCATCTCTAGACACCCCACAGGTAATATTGATTGGGGGGATGTTTGGGGTACCTCAGATTTGCTTTTAGCAAAAAGACAGACATAGCTCTGTTGGAATGACCTGGAAATTGTTGCTAGATTTCTTTTGTTTTTATATGCCTCCCTTCTCCTGTTTAAATAGGTAATAGCAAATAATGTTAACATATATTCAATATTCAAATAAGGAGCCATGGTTGTGAAGTAGTTAAGTCCTTGGCTGTGAATGGAAGGGTCCCTTGTTTGAACCCACCAGCCCCTCTACAGGAGGAAGATGTGATAGTCTGCTTCCATGAAGATTACAGCCTTAGGAACCCAATGGGGCAGTTCTATTCTGTATTATAGGTTTGATATGAACCAGAATCAACTCAACAGCAATGTATTTTAAGATATATATATTAAAATATAAAAATATTTTTAAGCAGGTCAGAGTTTTCTAAACAATGGGCCAATGTAGATTTAATTCAACATCGCACCTATAGGAATGTACTTTTGTGCTCATGTTAGTTTTTAAAACTTCCTTCAAAAATGTAGTAGTTTATTTTTTAAAATGCATTTTATTGAAATATAATTTATGTACAGTGAAATTCACAAAACTAAAGTGACATGGGTCAATGCATTTTTTTTTCAGTGTTCCCCTCCCCTCCCCTCTCACCCTTGGCAGCCAACAAAGAAAGTTTTCCTCTATATATAAACCTTTCTTTGACCCTCCACAACAACAAACTAGGACTATATTTGTCCTTCTGTGATTGACTTAATTAACTCAGCATAATGTCCTTCAAATTCATCCATATTATGTGGTGTTTTGCAGACTCTACATTATTCTTTAGTGCTACATGTTGTTGTTGTTGTTGTTGTTAAGTGCCGTCGAGTCGTTTCCGACTCATAGCGACCCCATGCACAGCAGAACGAAACACTGCCCGATCC